GAGACTACAATGTATATAGGCCTAAATTTGCAATCTGTTCCTTTCCACCAATAGTTTCAAACTCCCAGTTAAAAATCTACATTGTACACTGACAGCCAACCCGCAGCTCACATTTATAAACGAAGCATGAAATCAGAATTACAAAATCTAGCTGTGAACATTTTCAATACGTGTCTTAGCAACAAAGTTAGACTAGACGTGCAATGATTTCCCAAAAACCAAAACGAACAAGCAGATTTTATCAGTAGGCTGATACTTTAAGATATTGATAATTAGGGAATATCGCAACAGATCCTCCAAGTAATTAACAAATTATTAGGTCCACTTACTGTAGACTGTTTTGCCAATGCAAAATTACCTTGATTTTTCTCCAGATTTTGGAACCTGGGAACGGCCGGGGTTGACGCTTTTGCACATAATTGGACAAATGAAAACTGCCTCTTACTTCCCCAATAGTTCTTATACCAAGCGACAAGCGTGCATAGGCATCTTTATTCATGTAGGGGAAAGGGGGCTTTAGTTTGCCCATGGTGGCCATCCTCCTTATTCTGGCCGTTACTCTGGTCCTGCTATAGAGTTTGGTTAAAGGGAAGTTTTGCCGTAGAGGGGTCACAGGTACAGAAACTAGGAAGGAACAATAATTCAATTTTTGGGCCAGACAGTTTCCATGGCAATATTTGTGTTATTTACATGGACTGTACGAATGGGTGTTATTAACTTGTCACCTAATCCATTTTTGCTTTCCTTCTTTGCATAAGATTATATGCAAACAAAAATATCGGAAAGAATTTCCAAGTGAAATGGCAGAATTCAAGCAAAGTATTTTCACGACCTTTTGTTGTCTAGAGCTGAGGGCACCATCAACGGATATCTCTTTAAGTGCATAGTTTTCTTTTCAAGGCTCAAAGATATTCATATCCCAGTAGAATGTACCAATCTGTGAAGAAATAATCGCAGCGTAAACAGCAGATACAAGTACTTCAATGAAATCTGATAGCACAATAATTACTACCGCGGCAGCCCTAAAATGGCTTCATTCATTAGTCAATTCCAAACCTAACCCATTAGACTCACCGGTAGTACAACAGATCCTAAATGCTCAAAAGAGAAAGCTTCATCACCCTGTTCATAGGCAAAAAAAAGCAGTTCTGCTTCCGATTACATGCCTTTCAATAATAGGGTAAGTACGGCAGGTCGGAATTTTTTTTGGACAATTTTTTGTGCTGATTGAATGGGGTATTCAATTATGCAAATTTCAGCCTGAACTATTTCCATTGCACTACGAAAGCTATACAAAAAAATGGCCACAAAAAGTGATAAAACTTACCTTAATTATTGTCAAAAATATTTACAGTTGATAATTCTTAAAAACAATGGAAAACTCAGATTGTGCACACCATATGCACGACGCTAGTCATGACGGGATACTGGCCGGCACTATCCGTACATCGCGCAGTATAAGCATGCATGATGCACTGTATGTGGCGGGCAACGAACCTCGTTTAGGCAATTTTTGGAAAACACGCTGCATTGTATCACTCCAAATACGAGTAGTACGACCTCGAAATAAATTCATGAACACGGAAAATACACAGATAAGAGAGAACAAGTTCTGTGAATTAACTTGCTAAAATGTCCTTTCTCCATTGGTATTTTCTTGGCATTTTTACAAAGTCTAATCCAACCAGCAACTGCAGTGCACCACGGCCATGCATAGACTGGTTAACATATTTCCATCATGCCTTTCCTTTTAGTGTGCGGCGGGGCGGGAACCAGTCATCGCTGCATTGAGCATTACGCAAGTGTTTTCATATCGTCACCACAACATTGAATCTCGAACTAGTAATCGCGATGCGAACTTGTAAAAACAAGGTTTCTTCTTAAACAAGGTGATTCACGATCAGGCGTCTCGCCTGTTTTCTTTTCGATTCACATGTATTTGATAGAGTTGGCAACGGGTAGTAGTAATGCGGATGAGAGGGCCCTGATCAGTGTAGAAATAATTGTGGGTAGTAATGAGGGTGGAATTGTATGAACTGCTTATAAAGACCTCAAATGACATTTGACCTGAGCAATGTGCCCTTTCACATCATGATCATATGAAGGTTCTCCTTTTGCACCTATTACCCAAGTTTAGTTGCAATTGCACTTCAACTTCTGAATGAGACCAATTTTACATGTTCAACCTATTTTACAACTTGACCTCAGATGACATTTGATCTTGGTATGTGACCTTTGACATCATTACCATATGAAGGTTGCCATGTTGCACCTATGACCCAAGTTTGGATCTAATTGGACTTCAACTTTTCAAATGAGAAATTTTTTTGCAACTTTTAACCAAAATACCACATACAGTACATACTGTGCATACAGACATACCGGTACGGACGGACAACTCAACGGGAAGGACATGCATTGTGTTCCTTTTATCCCTTTTTATATAGGTTTCACATGTGGGGTGAAGGTCCTTTCCCTTTACATGTGGGGTATGGTCAGAATTTATGTCCATCCGATCGTCCGGTCTAGCCAGACGGACGGACGGACGGACACCGAAGGCGATGACATGCCCCTCCAGCCTCTCGACTGAGGGGTAAAAAAAGACCTGTTATTTTCTCAAATAAAAAAGATATCATATCTTGTAATTTCTTGTCCTAGTCACTTTCAACTTACATGTAGGCCAAACAAAAAAAATGGTGTGTTTACGGTAACGGCCTGAAAAAAATCCAGGTAGGTAGGTAGGGAAATAATTTTATTTTGTAATTTTTTTTTTCATTTCAGTTCTGCATGCCCATGCGTGTTCTTTCGCAAAAAATTGTATAAAACCACTATTCAAGCATTGAAGATATTCAATCAAATTAATTTTTCAAACATGTGGGGGAAGATTTGCTGTGATTCAACAACCCGAAAATGTTTGAACTTTAGAAGCTCTCTGGTGCATTTTAGAGCAAATCTGGGGGTCTTTATCTTAAGATTTGTCCTTGAAATTCAGAAGAGATCATGTAGGTCACTAATATTTTTGTAATTAAAGAAAAAAATTAACATTTCACAACCTGTGTTTCATTGCTTCCTAACTAGAAAAGTATGAATTACATTTACATTTACATGTAAGTTTCAAATTAAGAAATTAAGGTGGAGAAAAAAACAACTTTTGCTTCTGATTACATGCCTTTCAAAATAGCGTCAGTAGGTCGGAAAATTATTTCGCCATTTTTTTGGGGGTGCTGATTAATGGAGCATCGTACTAATCATAGAGCAAGGAATAATTTTTATTTTGTGCCTGGATTATTTTCATTTGCGCCACGAAAATTATCAAGACTGGCTATCAAATGTGATTAAAACTTGCCTCACCTAATTAAAAATATATTTGAGGTCGGTGATTCCACTTTATGCTTAACATACATCACGGCCGCTGGCACCGCCAACATTCCGCCTGGCTGGCCGAACATCGCGCCGTGCTCACGGCCCACGTGGCCGAAAATCTTGCACTACTGCAGAAACACGCTACGATGTTTCGCCACAAGTTCGAGCTTTGCAATCTCGTCATTTTAATGGAAAACACATACACAGAAAGTAAAGATCACGTTCTGTGAATTAATTCGCAGAAATTCTCTTTCTCCAGCGATATTTTTTTGGTAATATTTTTACGATCTAACTTCGGCCCACTACATCATCATGCTGTATGATACGAGGTATGGACCGGAGAGAGGCAGTTGTCACTGGTTCCAGTCCTTCATCATAGCATTGATTCCGTTAGCTGGCGAAGGGAACCAGTGTACCATGCTGTATGTTAGCTGGGTGCTGCTGGTGGTCGACGGAACAAGTCATCGTGTGCATTTTGATCACACATGCATCGGAAAAACAGGATTTTGGTCAAGATTTTGCATGTCAAGATGAAATAATGGCGTAACGATCAAATTGTGCATTTTAATGGCGTGTACGATAATTATATTGTGCGTATCAGGGGCTAAAAAATGTGATCGGCATTTTTTGTCGGCGTATCGGGCCGGCCGCAATTCCAGCGTATCGGGCCAATACGCACGTTTGTACGTGGGGAGAACCATGCCGTCCGTCGGCCAGCCAGGCGTACCCCGATGCGTTTGTGCAAAAATAATCGTACTTCGTACTAGTTTGAGAATTCAAGTTTTGAGATCGTCGCGATTTTCGCACGTTTAACACAGGTATGTTTGTGTCAAATCATGGTCAGATTCAAGTGTGGAAAATGGTTTTTGTTCGTGGCAAATAATTAAAAGTACTTGAAATGTTTGAAATTTGTCAATTATCAACCTTCAAAATGGCAATAAAAAGTTTGAGGTCGGCAATTTGGCCGAAAAAATTCCAGGTCGGTCGGGTTACCGTAAACACACCATTTTTTTTGTTTGGCCTTAGCAAGGTATAGGAAAAAACTAAAGAAAACACTACCGGTAGCTCCTCTTTCACCTTTTATATGCAACATCCGTAAACTTATCTACGGTAACTGGCCCATTATTGCCCATATGTGGTGTTTTTTTTTTAAATCGCATTTTTGATAACGTCATGATGATGTCACACATTTTTCCAACTTTTGTGCGTGTTTGTATGACCTATCACACCTATTACAAAATAAAATTATGAATGAAACATTTTTGTTTGCAGTCAATTTTTTAAAAATTCATATATAATCACACAATGATATCATCATGACATTACTTCCATTTTCATCTATAACAAGTCCCTACAGGTCCATACATACAAAGTTTTAGTTCAATCGGACGGGTATTTCTGTAGATCTATAGGGCCTCGAAAAAATGTGACGTCACGCGATGATTTCATCTTAACAAAAAAATGTGCGGACCATCTTCGGTTGGTGGTCTACGTGTGTGCTAAGTATTAAGTCGATCAGATTCATAAAATGCCCAAGTGGCTTGATAAAAGAAAAATGTGTACAAATCCTATGGAAGGAGTCTGAAAAAGGAACAAAAGGAAGAAAAAAGTCTCACCAAAAATATAAGTTTACTTACCATAGCCTGCTCTATCTTGTTATCGATGGCCCCACCAGTGGCTGAAGTGCTGAAACAAATTGAAGACAAAATCTCCCTGTTAGATGAACCCTTTCCTATGCAGATGCGCATGTTTAAATGATCTTGTTCATACTGTTCCAAGGGTGTTAATGTTTGACACACAGGGCTCCAGATTCAAGGATTATTAATTAGTTAGAGCAAATGCAGTGAGTAGAGTACACCTTGCATGCTGAGAAATGCTGGATACATGCACTTGCACGTCCTCGAGTTCTAACTTATGTGCAGATGCTGGTAGTCAAAGCACTTCACAATTGAAGTGTTCCCTTCACGACAAGTCTGGATTAGAAAGCTCTGTGGAATGTTCCAGAAATGTGCAAAAAATGCAAACCAGATGGAACGCGGACAACTTTTAGAGGCAGCACTCCAAGATACTTGCACATGTACGTATGACAGATGAAGGGTAACTGATCTCTTCAAACATGTCAAATGAGTTTATGATGCATTTTTCTTCACGTGTGCAGTACATACATCAACAGGCACAGAAACTCCTAATGATTTTTATAGCACAAGGCAACATGACAGTTGTACCACCATCACCAACAATGCAAAACGTTATCCTTGACTCCATCCCCACAGAACATTCTCTCTTTAGAGAACCGCAGAACCACTCCATGAATAGTTCTATACTGTAGTCTGTAGGCGGGTAGTTTACTCCATGTATCCATCAAATGAATAGTGTTCCTGAAATAACTGAGGACAAGCCAAGGTTACAAAATGTTAAGTGGTTGGATTTCTCGTTTTCCTTTTATAATTTCAAGGGAAACAGCAAATCCATATGTAGGGAGGAAATCCAAAGGATGCACCAAAATAGTGGAGATACTAAATTGCGTTTTTACAGTACATGTACATGATAACTGTATGAAGAATTTCATGCTGCTCTCAATGAAACCCCACTACTGAGATTCCCTGAAGCCCTACGTGCTTCTTCAGAGGGGAAACTTTAAAAAAAAAAAAAAAAAGGTACAACATGAGGGGCTAATTTCATCACAATAATGATAACAATTTCCTTGACAAACGTTCAAAGTACATGTATTTCTGAAGAATGTACTTATTTTAAGCTGGAACCTTATTTTTCTTTTACAAATAATAACAATGAAATGCTTAGCTTTGTTGGAGAAAATGGTCTAGTTGAAATAAAACACCCCCACTGGTAGACAATGGAAGAGGCTTTATGATTTGACCATGCATGGAAATTTCCACAGCACTACTGATTGTCCTTGACTGATGTGTGACCCACTGGCCAATATTGCTAATAATGGGGCTATGATTACTCTTTGGCAAAACAGGGCACATTTTATAAGTCCTGTTCAATATCAATGTACTCCAAAACAGCTAGGCCCTAATTATTTCCATTATTAATACCTCGTTTTCATTGGGCATTTCTTCAGAAATTGAAACTAAATTAATCTTTTGGGGAAAAAAACTGCTTTTTATGTGATTTCATACAAATGATTATTGTTCACAAAGTGTTGCTTAGTACATGTACATGTAAGTAAAGATGCTAATTTCTTAAGAAGTTTCAAAAACAAAAGTTAGTCTTTTCGTGTATAAATTATCATAATTTTTATTACAAAATGTCACACATGTGACCGATCAAAATTTCACACACATGACCACAGAACAATTCCTATTTAAAACAGAGGGTGCAGATTGTTTATGCATTCTGCAAATCACAAAAAAAACCTAGTCTTACACCAAATTAAAGGAGGGTGTGTGTGTGTCCTTAGAACGTTGGAAAAAAGCGTGAATTTCCGGTGTGGGCTGGATAACATTTTTACATCTGATGTCACACAAGTGACCAAACTTTGATGACCCCTTCTTATATTTTGACACAATTTGTGAAAGTAGAAACTATACTCTAAGATGGGGAGTGAAAAGTACTATCCTGATGAATCAGTGAAAATGATATAGGGAAAAGCTTCAAAAATAAGACAAGCCCAATTTTATGTCACACAGTGACCAAAGAATGGCCCTATTGTAGCTTTCTTTTGTCATGCAGAATGTCCTTTTTTTCCCTCCAGTGCAAAAAAGCCCAGAAAATGTCCTCTTAGTTACTCTTCCCGAGTCCAGTGAATACTTTCACCGGCCAACATTTGCCCAGGAAAAGTGACCTGGTCCCTTTTTTCCAAGAGGATAAGTCCAATGCAGTGAATTCGTAACGTACATTGTAAAACAAGCAAGGGACAGTTGTACATCCAGGCATTTCGCGAAGGCTTCACACTACACAGGCCCACTGCACATGCACTGTGCGTGTTTTCTTAGGCTTGCATTTCAATCATTTCTACACACACTGCACTCAATTTTCGGTTTATTTTTTTTTATGAAGTCATTGTAGATATCATAGACAATCTGTTAAAAGGCATTAGTAACCAATATTTGAGAACATTCATATAGTGTTTAACCCTCCGGCGCAGAATCTAGCCCTTTTGGGGACCCAATTTGGTTAATTACCTTAATTTTAAAAAAAATTTCAAACCAATTCTGGTGATCTTCCATCTAATCCTAGCAAGAGACACCCTCTACGGATATATGCAGTCACCTTTAGTGTGTGACCCCGGGTCAGGAATATCTGAGCATGACAACCTGGGCTAAGGTCCGACGCAATTTCTGCCCATCCGGGGACCCACCATATACACGCGCACAAAACAACTCCGACGCAATTTCTGCCCACCCGGGGACCCACCATATACACGTTCACAAACAAGGTCACTTGCGAGTAGACAGTGCACGGCTTGACCACAGACTATGTATACAAATACACCTCCTTAGTCTACAGACATAGCAAGATTGTGTTCATGTGGATACAGTGTTGCGTAGCCTCAAACCGTGGTGCTAAATATTTGGGTCCCCGGGGGACTCCTTACTGTAAGTGTGTTACTAAATGGGCTTTCTGCGTCATGTTTAAGATCTCTGTATAGAATAGACTTTTAACTATACATTACATCTATACATCTATTTTTTTGTTTATATGAGATTGTTTAAGGTTACATTCTATTAAAATTGCAACATTGAAATAATTGTTCTAAATTGTTCCATAATGTTGTACGATGATCGAGAATATAGGGCGATCAGGTGTACACAGGTGTACATAGCGTACACAGGTGTACATAGCGCAACAGGTTGAATTTATGCACAGTTATGCATCTAGTGATACTGCACCGTAAGTGTGATGCGACATACGGCCAGTGCTGGCTAGCGACCGTCGTGACTAACGTAACGTTGAGTGTTCTAGCCAGGCATCAAATAGCGCTAGCACCCGCTACACTTTCGGAAATAAACGCTATAAATTTTGGTTGAAAAAAGAGCATTGAGCATTTGAGCATTGCGCACTGGCCGTACGACACAGCGAAAAATAAACAACGATCCCACCGCACGTACCCCGTACGATACCCCTACCGTGATGCTGCGCCACACGCATTCGCTATGATAGCAATAAGCACGTGCTGTTTTGTGCTGCGTAGATACAGCGCTCCGTACGGACGTACGTGTCACAAACATGTCACGTACAAAGCGCTCTATAGACCACACCATTTTGCGCTATAGGGTGTGCTTTCCTAAGGTCAATATTTACAAGCATTTCAACTGTTTTAAAATTATAAATAATACTTTTTATCAAGTCCGAAACACATAACTGTTTGAAAATAAGTCCTTCAACGTCGGTGATTATTTCTCATTGTCATTATCTACAATTATATTTTTTAACAAAAATGAGATTTCTCCTTCACATTGTGTTGTAGCATATTGAAATTGCAATCGCCGACGACTTTTTATGTCTGAGACCTCCATGGTTTTACATTTTCTCTCCCTGACGATCAGATGGTTTTATTTACAAATTTAAAATCGGAACTACTGCTACTACGGCAGCGCTACACAACACAAGGCTTCTTGAAATATGAAATGTTCATGCGATTTGTTCTCACACTTAATATTGACAAAGTAAATCCCAATTTTTTATAAAACATTGAGGAACTACTAAAAATGGTTAAACATCAGAAAGCATCGATCTTGGAACAACTTATGCATTGTAAACGTAATCTAAAATTTGAAAACAGAAGAAACTTTACAGGAGCAAGAGTATTAATCATTGAAACAAATAAAACAAAATTTCTTATAATTTTAAACACTTCTGCTAAAAAAAAAATCAGGGGAAAGTGGCAGGGAATCGCCTCAGATTGCACCACAGAGCATCTAGAGTCCAAAATTTGTCGGGGCCCTTAAGCGGGCCACAGACCCCGGACCCCACGCCGTAAGGGCTTCGCGCTCCGCGCTCGCATTAGTCGCCGAACCAAAATACCCCTACGCTATAATTTCACCCTGGCTAGAACACTGGTTGAGAACACTGGTTGAGAATAGTGGTGCGGACGACTTAAATTCTCCTTTTTTTCATCCACCTTACAATGCCTTACATGTAAATATATTTATATATTAATTAATAAGGCAAGTTTTTATCACTTTTAATGGCCAGTCTCAATAACTTTTGTGGCCAGAATTTTTTAATTTGTTACTTACTAATAGTCCAGGTCAGAAAGTTGTAATGTTTGTGAAATTTTGATTCTTTTTTATTAAAAAAAAATCAATTTCATCTGAATTTTAAGGAGAAATCTACCTTAAATACACCCAGGTTTGCTCTAAAATGCACCAGTGACCTTCTGAAGTCAACATTTTTTGGGGGTCCTTAACCCTAAAAGGGCCGGGGGGGGGGCGGAATCCGCCCCCCCCCTCAACATTTTCTGTGATAGCTTCTAAAAAATTTTTTTTCGCGACCCGAGCTGTTATGACTTTTTAGCCTCGAGCTTTGCGCATCTTTTGATACCAAAAACATAGAAATCGGACCACGGGTGGCCGCGTAGCGAAAATTTTTCCGGCGCTACGCGCCGTGAAAACTGAATTTTCGCATATACGTCGTGTACACAGAGCAGAATTGCCATTTGTACATATGAATAATTAATTAGCCATAATTCCAAAACCCTTTGACCTATAGTCATGAAA